AATCATCATTTTCAATCGCTAATCTGTCGGCGTTTTGTAACCGAGATCCACACATCGACAACAGTTGCAGTTCATTTGCTGATTCGTCGTTATTTAGCAGCAGGCTCTAATCCGTCGCTGAATGCTGTCACTATTTGAAATTTTTTTGTAATCGAATATGGAGAAATTTTACTCTAGGAGTAACTAGTGCAAGTTACTCTATAAAGAGAGATAGATACAAAAGAAAAGAGAAACATGAGAGATAAAATTTAAAAAATTACCTAAGGTGAAAATCTTCTTTTGACGTTTGGTAGATGCGGATGTGATTCTCTCTCTCTCTCTCTCTCTCTTTTTTTTTTTTTTTTTTGGTTATGTGTCTATTTATTTCTTAAAAAATGGACCCATGTATTAACTACTATATATGTATACTAGTTATATATTATAAAATTTAATATCTTATTCTCCTTTGAGCTTCTTTCCAAAAAAAAAAAAAAAAAACATCAACTAATTATATATACATATAATTTATAATTATTAAAAAAATATATGGTATAGAATTAATGAAGTAAATTATAAGTCAGTCTCTCTAGTTTTAAGAAAAAAATTAATTAATCTTTCTTGTTTTAAAATCAATTATTTAGTCCCTTGATAAATGTTTAATATTGTTTTATTTTAAAAAATGTCTATCTCATCAATCCTTTTATATATTTTACCTATTTTTTTCTATTTCTTAAAATAAAAATAATTTAAATTAAAAAAGAATAAACAGATTAAGTTATAAGAAAATTTAAAAATATAAAACTAAATAATTAGTTTTTAAATAAAGGAGACTAATTAATTTATTTATTTGAAACTAGAGGGACTAATTTATAATTTACTCTAATTGATTATAAGAAAAGGGAAATCATATTTTCATAATTTCCTTGTTAAATGTGTTAAAATTTCCCCCCTCCCTTTTTTTTTTTCCTTGGGAGTGCTAATAATTAGAGAATTTTTCTCGGTACAAACACATTACTTGATTACGGCCAACAAAGAGCCCAAGGCACTTGCATCATGAGATGGAGCCACGTGGCCTCTATGTGGTCGACTATGATTTAAAAGGTGAACTCGTGTTGACCGGATGTTACTCTCGGCCGTTGATAAAAAAGTTAGAAGTATTGTCCCACCTATGCCAATTAAGAAGTTATATAATTATGGTATTCAAAAGGTCTTATTATTTTGCTTTGATAGTCCGTTGTTTAGATAGAAATTTATCTTATTTCCATTTGTTTAACTTTATATAAGAAGTTATATAATTATGGTATTTAGATAATTAATCATTTGAGATTCAATACTTGAACTTTCCTTTCCTATATTACTTGATAAGATCTAGTGCATTTGTTAGGATTTATTCGATCATTAACCATTAAAAGATAAAAAATAAAAATAAAAATACAAAATTATCAATCTTTCAAAGAGGGACCATGAAAGAGTGACAATATGAACGTATAGCCTACAATAATCTTCAAGCTTATTCCATCATTTGTCGCCAATTTATAAAGCATATTAAGCCCAACAATATAATTTGAACAACCATCATAAGAAAGGTAGGCTTCATCTCATAAAACAACTTACAAAGTAGTTCCATGGAATGAACAAAAAGGGAAGGAAGCCCGAAGTACCGAGAAAGAGAGAAATTAAGAGGAGTAGGAGACAACTCTTGTGTAAAAGATAGAAGATATTTAAAGCAAAACTTTGGGACTTAGATTTGCACTTTTGGTTATATATAGCTGTTTTGATTTGCACCATCAAGGAAGTAAACATATCAATGCTAATCTAGAGGTTATAAACCTAATTAGGAAGGTTTAGATGTCAAGTCTACCCAATTAAATATGCAAGAATTTTCAATATTTGTCTTTAGAAATTAAAAAATGGTTAATGAAAGGGGAAGTATTTTTTATGTTGTTGGATTTAAAGTTGAGAATTGAAGGATGTTGGATCCTAAAAATCATAAAGCAATTGAACCCAAAATATAAATAATAATAATTATTATATAAAAAAAAAACAGGACTAGATTCAGATTTAGAGTCTATTAATTTTTTATTGATTATGCCTTGCTTTAAAATTCATTACGATTTATCAATATATAAATAACATGTGATTCCTTATTCTTTTGAAATATTATAGATATGTCAATAATTTTTCGCTTGATCTTATCAATTTCCTATTGAAAGTTATAATTTTATTTTAAATAATGGAATTTAATGTTGAAACTTATGTAGATGCGAAATAAATAAAAAAATGAGAGTTTTAATATCAACTAGAGAATAATTGGTTTTATAATAAACAACTATGAACTCATTAACTAAATTAAAAATTCAGCTAAATATATCAATTTATTTTTATACAATACTCAAAGTCTCTCATTTATTCTTAGATTTCTAATTGCATCCTATTTGTTCTTAAAAAATTTTGAAATGTTCAATTTATTATATGGGTTAAAATTTTTTACCATAATTTTTTTATTGAAATACCCTTTACTAAAATGAGAAAGAAAAAAAAACACTTCAAGTCAATTGATCTACTTGTTTTATCTTGAAGTCTTTAGAATTTTTTTTCTTACATTTCAATTAGAGGCACTTTGGTAAAAAAAACTTTCATTTGCATTAAAAAAATGATCAAAAGCATAAATTGAATATTTCAAATACTTTCAAGTACAAATAGAATGCAATTAAAAACTTAAGGACATATGAAAAACTTTTAATATTATATAAAGATAAATAAATATATTTACCTTAAAAATCCTTCAAATACGGAGTCACTTTAGTATCATTTTAACATCGGTTTTTGCTTTTTTCGATTATTTATTCTCCTTTAGATATCTTAATTTATGACTAGATAATTCTTTTTATTGATTAAAGTCAAATATATTTCTAAAATTGGTGTTAAATACTACAAAATATATATTAAATTTGAAAGTTCCCAAATTTAATATTAATTTATTTTAATTTCATACACTTAAATTTTTGGAATTAATTGAATTATTATTAAAGGTTTTTATAAGCCTCCGCATGGCGACGCCCAAGTCCTATGCTTTGGTTCTTCATATTTATGTAATAACCTGCACAATTGTTGAGCATTTTATGCCCAATTGAGAAGATATGATTCCCTATTTTTTCATGGATCACGGAATTAAATCGTTGCTTGTTATCGGACAAGGATATTCAGTGGTATGTGTGAAAGAAAGAAAAAAAATCTAAAAATGGCCTTTCACAAATCATTTTGTCCTGTATTATAGATTTTATTTTTTTATTTTTATTTTTTTTAACACTTTGAATCTTATGAAAGAGTATGAAGAAACCCCGCCCTCATTGTTTCTTGCCCTTTGGCTTCTCCTTATTAAGAAATTGCTCGGACTCAAATTTAGCATGGTATAGAAATTACAAAAAGTTGATGGCTAGCAAATTGCACTCTTTTATTTCCAATTCGTGGTGGACTCGTTAGGAAATTGACAGATTATGGTATCTATATTGGTCCTACCAAATAGTATAAATAGGTAGTCTTTTTTATCATGAATTAATGCACTAATTTCCTACTACCAATTTTCTATCACAATTAATGCATCATTTGTTAACCGACGAATATAAACAGGCATTCTTTAACAAGAATCCCAACGATGGAAGTACAACCTCAAACAAGAAAAACTCTCGTGCTCGAGCTACCTGTGCTACACCGGAAAGGAAGGGTGAGCAACCGGTTAAATGGTTCGGTTTTATACGATTCGATTCGATTTTCGATTAACCGAATCAAGAAAAATAAAAACTAAAACCGAACCGAAATATATTAGATAAATTCGGTTTGTAACCAAATTATTTCGGTTCGGTTTCAAAATATTTCGGTTTTAACCGAAATGTTTTGCTGAAAAAAATATTTCCGGACCATCGTTTCATTGTCCGTCCTAAGCCACCATCATTTTCACCATTTACTATATATATATAAAAAAAAAGACAAGTAAGAAAACAAAGCCCTTACATAGGAAATATCTTTTGCAGCTACCTAATTACGGTTAGCACACTCGAAAGTCCTAAATGAGAGAAGAAAAAAAAATAGTTGTCTTCCTTCTTTTGCTTCTTTTGAACTCATCAAGTATCTGCTAAATATATATGAACTAGACATCCGACCAATATTGTTTTAATTAGAAAAATTGGAAGATGATGCCCAAGATTATGCTCATCATGATGATAAAACTAAAGCTTAAATAATATCTTTCATAATTAAGATATTCCTACACCAAGAAAGTCTATAAAGGCAACATCCTAATTCTTAATTTGACCTACATGATCTCCTTGCTTATCTTGCTAAAAAGCCATTGGGAATGAATTGCGGGAAACAAAATGTTAGACCGAATTAGTCACCGTTGAAGATTATAATTTTCTAACATCAATCACTATCATAACAAGATATATAAAGCAAGGTAAAGGTTACCAATATGTATAACATCCTCAATAATTTTACAATCATCATTCCAACTAAAAAATGTAGTCCAGAAAATTTCCATTAGCAATTTTGTGCGAGTAGAAAAGAAATTAAAACAGACTTTCTTTCGGTTTGCAAAATTCAAGCTCACAGAGACCTAGAACCATCTTGCAAGAGCAAGTTAATTTCATTTGATTGTCTTGCAAAGAAACAACCGAACTTGTAAAAGACAATTGATTGTAGTTAGTCATCAACTTGCAACTACTTTATTTAATTTTTTCAGTTGATAGTCGACCAAATTAAGAATCTTAGAATTCATGAATGCCTCCTCCGAACTGCAGATGATTATTCAAATCATTAAGTTAGAAAAACCAAGATTTTGTCAATAGAATTATTTTAAGAAAATCAAAGGAGAGATAATAAAAGTACCATAATAGAGAAGTAAGCTCACACATTTGGCTTGCTTTTAAAACTTAGTTCCTATTACAAGGCCATGTAACTCAATATGGGTGTATAACAAATTAATGAGCTTTAGGTATGATCGATCAAGAGCCCAAGAGGCTTACCTTTACTTTTCCTCTTATAGGCTTAAACCCATCATCCGGGTCCTCACTCGTCACACGCACAACTACATAAACACAATGACCTTTTGGCTTTATGGACTCTACCCGGTCAAAATAAAAAAGGGTGGCAACCAATGAAGTTTTCCTCCATGCATCATAACCTCCATCATGTTCCATTCCATAAAATCATCTTATCTCTAATTAAATAAGAATTGTAAATAACAATACCAAAGAACATATATTTAATGGTTAAAGGAAAATGCCTTGTTGAAATTGTGAATCCATTAGTGTCATACCCGGAATTTGCCAAAGAGGAATACCTATCCCCACTGCGACCTAGGTCTGCCGGCGATTTATTTCGAGCAATCCACTTAGTGACAAGGTGCTCAACGAAATTGTAGGAGGAGAAGGGTGGAGGGTGATTGGATGGTGACGGATGAGTGATGACCATGACTGTGAGATTGGAGCAAGATGATGGAGAGGTGGGTGGTGACCGATGAAATTAGAGGAAGAGAACATACAAGCAAGAGAGAGGTGGGTGTTCGGTGTGTTGCGGTTGCCGGTTGCTCTCTTGCCGAGGTAAAAGGCCCGATGAAGTGATGATGAAGGAGAACCGGAGAAGATGGAGCGAAGGATGGGGAGCTAGGGAGGTGCCGCTGAAAATTGATTTTGATTTAGTGAAGTTAGCCGGTTAGGGTTTTAGGGAGTTAGCATTTATGAATCTTTTTTTTTTTTTTTTTACTTTTAATTTATTCGGTTTTTGGTGAAAATCGATTTTTTTTTTCAAAAACCGAACCGAACCGAAATAATTTTGGTTTTTCGATTTGGTTTTTAATTTTATAAATTTAAGTTTAAAACCGAACCAAAATATATAATTCGATTTAGTTTGATTTGAATTTCGGTTAACCAAACCGTTTGCTCACCCCTACCGGAAAGTTGAAGTTTTGTCAATGTTGTTCAATATGCAACTACTAATAATTAGTAGTATACAAAAAGTAAAATTACGCCAATGACATGGCATAATTTTACTTTTGACCATTAATCAATTGTTATATTTTCCGATTAAAGACAATTAACTACTAATTTCCAACTCATAAAAAACTTAGAAAATACGTATGGTTGAATAATACAAATATAACAAGTTAATTGCATCTTAATTTAATGGTGGTGCTAATTAAGTCCAAGAGCGTCAAGTCTTTTAGGTCGACCTACCTTTCATCCATGTGTTTATACATTCACCGTTTTCTTGGTGAATCCAATTATATGTAGTTTACAAAAGGATCAAATTCATTTACTACAAAAGATGCAAGTATGCAACCGAATAAGTGATAATTTCGAGGGATTGATTTGATAGGGAAGAAAGTTTGCTCTTTTTTTGGGCTGTGTTTAATTGAAGGAAATTTTTTAGTATTTGTTTCACATTTTTTAAAAAAAGTCAACATAAAATGATTTTTAAGAGTATTTTTGAAAAAATATTTTTCTAATTTAAAAAGAGGAAAACATTTTTTTTTCTCACAAACTGTCTCGCTCTCGTGTTATTTGCCTCTCTTTCGATATATTTTAACAATTTTTTTCTATCTTTTTTTATTTAAAATATATCAAATTAATTTTTAATTATTCCTTATCAATTATTATTTATTATTTAATTATTTTTTCCTATTTCTACTAATGTTTGATTTTTTGATTTATAGATACATTAAATATTCTTAAAAATCATTTTTATACCTTAAAATTATTTTATAATAAATATTTCAATAATTTATCTTTATTTTTTTACTATTATTTCAAGCGCCACTTACACTATACTTAAATGATTGAAAATGATTATCACAAGACTATAATTTTTTGTAAAAAAATTAAAATTAATTAATTCATTAATAAATATATTATTTTTTCAATACTATTCTTTTATAAATAAATCAATAATTTGTAATTTTAATCGGATGTAAAATTTCGTTGGTACTTATAGTGAATAATTAGTTACAAATTATTCCAACATTAATATTTTGAAACCAAATGAATAATTATCTACAAATGATAACTAATAATTTATAAAATTATTTTTTCAACTAGATTATCAGTTCAATTTCTAAAAAAAAAAAAAAGAATTCTTAATTGAGTTATCAAAATAACAATGCTAAGATTACTTAGAATTTTTTTATACTAAATGTGAATATTGACTTGATTTTGTTTCAAGTAATTTTGATGAATTGGTTTGATAGTTAAAAAAGTACATATATATTTTTTGAATTAAAATTTTAGAGTCAGTATTTGTGAAAATTTATTAAATTTTTTTAAATGTATCATACATTGTGAAATTTTAAATAAGGCTTTTTGAAGTTTTCTCAAAACTTATTGATGTAACAATCACATATTAGTTTTGTATTTTTATTTTCCGTATCAAATAAGTAGTAAATATATTTTCATGTAATTATCAAATGACAAAAAATATTTATTTAAAAAATAATTTTTTTAAAAAATAACTTTCTTAGAAATTGATCCTATAAAAATTGTTTTTCACCAAATAAATCGAGTCTTGGATTCAAATATTAGGGCCAATATTCAAACAAATTTAATTGTATATTCCAATACTAGGCCCAGTTAGAAACCCATTCTGGTACAGAACCGTATGCTACCATGCTTTGAACTTTTATATCTCGTCCCCATAGTGTTAAAATAATTTTAACATTACCCTTCAACTTTTTTCTTCATTTAGGTGGTTCTTTTACAGACTTACAAGGCGACCAGCCTCTCTCTCACACACACTATATATCTATATATATATATATATATATATATATGTTAAACCCTAAAAATGGCTTGAAAGCGCCTTATGGAAGGCCCCTCACCTGCCGTTTCATCTTCCGAAGAAGAAGAAACCGTTGAAGAAGAAGAACAAGAACATTGCACTGTCGAAACCAAGCAAAACGGCGCCGGTGAGGAATAAAACAATGACGAAGATGGCAGTGAAGACGACGACGAAGAAGAAGCGGCGGGGAAAGAGAAACCCGACCTGCCCTCCAAACCTGCAAAGCCAACTCGGAACCCGACTCGGATGATGACTCAGCGGACACCGAGTCAGGTCAGCTACCGGCACCTTCCCTTTCTGATTTAACCATGAAGCTCGTCTCGCCGAAGCGCAAAGCTGGCCAAAAACCGGAGCAGCCCAAGAAGGAGAAGGACGCTGGGGACAAGAAAGCAAAGAGGGGAGCCGGACCTGGGAACGAAGGGTCTCAGCGCATATGCAGTGATGGAGATGAGATTGTTAGGAGAATACTAAAGGAGTGGTGTGGTGAAAGAGAAGGAAATTCTTTGATGATGAGCTCTGGCACAGGTTATGGGACTTGGAAAGAGCAAGTTGGGCAGGGCAGCAAACCCAAGCGCACTAGTCAGGTAACTAATTGTCTTTGATTTACGATTAACATTGCCTGTTTGGCTATTAATGGTTGCTTATGTTCCGGAATTAAGATTTGCAGTTCACTGAGGAAGTTCGTTTAATGTGCCACCAATGCCACAAAAGTGATAATGGCCATGTTGTTTGGTGCCTGAAATGTAAAAGGAAGCGCTTTTGCATCCCCTGCTTGACGAAATGGTATAATTTAGGATTATTTGCATTATTTCCCAACTGAAAGAATTATAATTTTTTTGTCAAGATTGATATTATTCAATCCAAATTAACTTTCAGTTATGCATTTTGAAGACACTGGTTTTGTTGTTAATTCTACTATTTGCTGCACATTTTATGAATTTATATGTAATTACTTTGCTTGTGCTCTCTTTTTCTCATGCATGTTTGTTTGCATCCATGTGCTTACGATATGTTATAATGTGGTAAATTTATGTGTTTCTTTTCTTTTATTGAAGATTTATTTTGTTTTCTAAATTTAATTCTATAGAGGAAATAGTTAATTGTTAGAACATGTGGTATCTTGCATGATCTGTTTTTACTGATAGATCTAGTCCAACTTTAATCCAACTCATTGACAACATTATAACATTATATTGTGAATACGTGTAAATCAGCATATGATACACTGTTTTGAATTTTTTGAACTTGCTTGGACCATTAACAAGAGAATGGTATAGCTTAGACTTGTTTTCTTGAATGTTTTGAATCATCTCAAAAATGCCTATACATAAATCTTTCTACCATTGGTTTTGTTACTTAAGAAACGCTCTGTTTATGTTGTAGGTATCCTAAGATGACAGAGGATGATGATATGGCAATTGCTTGTCCAGTTTGTTTTGGAATATGCAACTGTAAATGTTGTTTGTGTCTAGATGCACCATTGAAAGTATGTCTCTAACCTTGCAGTTCATGCTTCAATGTGTATTCTTAATGTTTTTTATTGCAAGTGTGAGCTGTAATAATTTTACCTTTTGTTAGTTACTGCATGACCTGAAAAATTTAAACCTGTAAGTAAGCAAAGAAGAAGAAGTGAAGTACTCTAAGTTTTTACTTTGCACTCTTGTTCCATTTCTGAAGCAGTTAGATGAAGAACAAATGATGGAGAGAGAGATTGACGCTAGGATCAGGGATATTCTTTTGTTCCAAATATTTAAAATTAATTTCATAAGCAATAAATTTTTTCACTTATTCTGTTTAAATTTCAAAACAGTCTTCATTTAGGTATGCCTGAAATGGAGAAAAATGGAGTTTTGTATACAAAAGGTTTTTCTTGTATGGGATGAAATGATTGTCTATTGGTTTAATGGTCAAATTCAATTCTTACAGTAAGTTTTCCTTATTTGTTACGATTTGTTTCCTAACAGTAAATGTTCTCATTGTCTCTTATGTTTTGAGTTTTGCTTCTTGATTGGATATTGAAGACCTCTCTTTTAGTTGTCCTTGCAGTTGCTTTCAAATTAATCATTGCATTAATTTGTTTTCTAAAAGTAAATCTTCTCATTGTTTCTTATGTTTTGAGTTTTGCTTCTTGATTATGGAGACCTTTCTTTTAGTTGTACTTGCAGTTGCTTTCAAATTAATCATTGCATTAACAAAAGATTGGTTGGCTGATGGTTGCTTGTGCGTGTGAATAGAGTGTTGGCTTTGTTATTTGTCAGAAAACTAATAGTTTAGCTTCTACAGGTGTACCTCCTGCAGGCTGACAATAGAAAATTGTAGATGCCCTACAGATAAGAGCACGTTCTGGTAAGTTCTTATCTAGATATAAATGTTTCCCACCTTATCATTTTCTAGGGAAGATTTGATACTAGCCCATCTTTTTGTTTTTTTCAGTTACTGAAGCTGAAAGACTGGCCCCCTTTGAAATATTTGGTGAAAGTTTGCCACGACATGATGCTGCATTTACATGTTGTTTGCCCTTTAAGGAGTATACCCATCCTCACAGTGGACCTTTAAACCTTGCTGTCAGTTTGCCTCAGAAATTTTTTAAGACAGACATTGGGCCGAAGACATATATTGCTTATGGATTTCCTGAAGAGCTTGGGCGTGGAGATTCTGTTACCAAGCTTCATTGTGACATGTCTGATGCGGCATGTTTTGTGTCCTTTTCTATTCTTGTTCAGATAAAAGATGTTACACTAGTGACAGAAAGAGAATGGAAGGTTAGAAATCAATAAGTGTGACACGTCTGTCTGGAAAAGCTGAAAGGTGAACTCCATAATAAAAGTTAGGACAACATAGATTTTCAATTTTAGTGTGCTATGTTTAGTTTTTCTTTGAGGTTTTTTTTTAATAGTTGACTTATAAAGCCATGTTTTAATTGCTTTTATTCTGCAGATACCACAAGCTTAGGTTTCTTTTTAATAGGTCCAGCTCCCCTCTTTGCTTTCTTGTCCTCAGTGTCCTTCTCCTTCTTGGGCTACTCCTGTTTTGGGCCAGGTTTGCGCTTCGGCGAGATGAGCTTGATGGCTAAATCAGAAAGAGAAGGTGATGGTAGCTGACCTAACTCAGTGTCTGCTGAGTCATCATCCAATTTGGATTCCGAGTCGAGCTTTGAAGGTTTGGAGGGCAGGTCCGGTTTTTTTCCCCAGCTTCTTCGTTGTTGTCGTCGTCATCGTCTTCACTGCCATCTTCGTCATTGTCTTGTTTCTCATCGGTACTATTTTGCTTGGTTTCGACAGTGCTGTGTTGTTCTTCTTCGTTATCGGTTTCTTCTTCTTGGAGAAAAAGCGGCAGGTGTGGGGTCTCCCATAAGGCGTTTTCAAGCCTTTTTTTTTTTTAAAAAAAAAGGTTAGTGTGTGAGAACTGCCCGTCTTGTCACTGAGAAGGTGATCGGCTCTTTTAAATTCCTTTCCTTTTCTAACAGTTAAATTTTTCATCGAAAGCTTTTTTGTCATTGTATAGTTACAATAAATATAATTTAGTCCCTGAAATGTTGTTTTTTTTTTACTTTGATTATCTTTTCCCATGCTACCATTGATATATTGTTTTTGTTTTGGTTGGCCAATATTCAAAAAAATTTAATTATATATTCAAATATTAGGGCCAATATTTATGAGATTGTTGAAGCTTTAGTCTGCTGAAAGGATTGGATAGTGAGGCATGAAATGAAGTAAGTGCCTTCTTTCTTTCTCTTTGTTGGCATGCTCTGATATCTTCATGTGTCTGCAACTTTATTTTTCTTTCCTTTTGTTTTTAAGTTGAATTGATGTATTTAATTTAAACGATGATTATTTTGGCCTCGACCATTCTCACTGAGAATGCCTTTCAAAGTTCAACTTTCCTTCATCTCACGAGACTTCTAATATTGTTGTAGTTGGTAAATGGTATTGCCCTTTTATATTTGTCAAGAAACAAAATTTGTCATTGCATTATGATCATAAGACAAATTCAACTTAAACAGCTGTTGGTCGGGATTTCTCTTGCAGCAATAGTAATGATTTTATTACAGGAGACTTAATTTGTTGCTGTGGATGTAAATTTTGAAATTGAAGTGGTTGATATCCTTGGAATTATGACAGTAGAAAGGTGATTGGTGGGATAAAATAGTTTGAAGCCTTAGATAAGGGAGGAAAAGCAGTATCTGTGGGTTTGGATAGAGTAATCATTGAGAAAATCACTAGAGATCAAGAAAGCTTTGGTTGAGTTAATTAGAGAGAATGACAAGTTGAAGAAAGTAGAAAAATTTGAAGGAGAAGATGGTGAATGGAAAATTCGAAATTATGAGAGGTATAATTGTTCATGTCATTAAAACACACACAATAAAGTTATTAGAACTTTTATATTTTCTCCCTTTGTTTTCCTCTTATGTTTTCTTCTCTACCAGTTAAGTTGTCCCCATTGTTACTTGATTTTCTATCGAAGAAGTAATAATAGCAGCGTGGATCATCTTAGTTTCCTGAGAGCTTTTTGCTATC